CATGCGTATTCTTTTTGTTGCTTTCTGTTGTCGGCGTAACTTCTGCACGCTCGCTGTGCTCCTGGGCACCGGCCTGTGCATCGCCCGATGTGTTGCGCCGCCTCTGCCAAGTACGCATCACCCGGCCACCGCGAGGCCTCTCGCTACAGCCTCGGCTGCTCGAGCCTCTGGCTGGCGGTTCCGTGCGTCCACGGCGTGTTTGGCGTCCACGCTGGCGCGCTCGGCCTCGGTGGTGCCCTGCTCCTCGCCGTCACGTGCGCCGCCTGCCTCGTATCGACGCTCACCTGGCGCACGCTGGCGCACACTGGCGACCTCTCCGTCTTCAAGGCGGACAAGGCGGTGGCACGGCTTGAGTTTGTCGCTCTCTGCGTCTTTAGCGTAGCCGCTCCACCGCCCGCAGTGCGCCCTGCTGTCACTGCGTGCGTGCTGCCTATCACTGTTGCCACTCTGTACCGAGCCGGCATGGCGCTCGACTCGCGCGGGCACGAGACGGCGTCGCACTGGGCACATGCGGCCTTCCGCTTTGTCGGCTTCTGGTGGGCGTTGTTAGCCCTCGCGCACCCATCATGGCCCTCTGCGCCGCGCGTTGCTCTCGGCTCGACTTGCTATTGGGCGCACATGCTGTACTCTGTCCGCTGGCCAACAGCGTACGGCGTGCGCTTCCGCGCGGCCGATTGGTACGATTATGGTTGCTTAGACACCCTCGCTGCAGTGGCCGTGACTTTTAGTCTGGTTGAGTTTGTGTGAGAGACGACACAGTTTACAGGCCACAGCAGTTTACTACTCTCTCTCTTTGAAGGCAAACACAGAATCAGATAGTTGTACGCAGACGTCGCGGAGAGAGACAAACAGTAACAGAATCAGAGATTGCAAGAAGCGCAAGACGACACTCAGTGCCACAACACACAGGCCACAGGACAGCGATCCAATCAGCGCACGTGTGCAGAGCTGCGATGGCAGCGCCCCGCGCCAAACACAGAGAGAGAACTTGGCCTGTCCAAGGATTTCCGGCATCCCAGAGGGAAACCAGAAAAAACCCAGCCCTTTGCGTTTCCATCCTGGTTTGTGGAGCTCCCACAGATGTTCTGACAGAGACCTGGCCGTTCTGACAGCGTTCTGACAGCGTTCTGACAGTGTTCTGACAACGTTCTGACAACGTTCTGACAGCGCAAAATCCTCCCCTCTCTTCACAGCTCAGGGGCTCTGACATTCCCAGTTGCCCCGCTCCTTCCCTCTTCCTGTCTTGAAGTCAAGGCGCGAGACACACAAGTCTCCCTCCGAGCCACGGACGGACTCAACACACACAACACGTCCTCCCAAGCGCCAAGGCGACACTCTCACGTTGAGGCGTAGGCCTTGTTCTGACACAAACTTGGTCCCCGTTCTGACACAAACTTCAACTTTCAACTTCGAGTCCAAGTTTGCCTGTTCTGACAATCTGTTCTAGATACCCGAATCCGGCGATCTTTGGTGGGCAACGTTCCCCGCTCCACGTATGTGAGGACCTCTGAGGACCCTTTGTGAGGACCTTTGCTCTGAGCGCTCTGCCACTCTCAGCGCACCTCCTGGGCAAGCTCTGGCTGGGGAATTAAGTCACGTGCAGTGCAGCCCAGACGTCAACGCGCCGGGCCGCCCTCGAGCCGCACGCCGGGGGTCTTTCCCTTCTCTGACTCAGATTGATGGTCGATGCGATCATGCGATAAGCGAAATCTGTAAATTTCCTTGAGTGAGATATTTGCTGCTGCGCTTTGACCTTCTTGTTTCTTTTTGAGGCACTCAAAATTCTTTTTTCCAGCACAACAACCGGCGCCGACGCCAACCCCTCATGGCGCCGCCGCTGAGTGCCGCCGCCGACAATCCGTGGGCCTTGCGCTCGCGGCAGCTGAGCGCCATCTCTCGCATGATCAACCTCGACCGGGAGGAGGCGGACGCCTCCGGGGTCGGATGGCACGACCCGTGGAAAGTGCTCGTGTACGACTCGTTTTGCCGCGACGTCATCTCCCCGCTGCTCAAGGTCGGCGACCTGCGCAAGCGCGGCGTGACGCTGCACCTCCTCCTGGACGCGGAGCGGGAGCAGATCGCGGACGTCCCCGCCGTCTA